GCTGTGTATTAGTTCATCGTCATAAGGTATAACTTGATTATTAGCTTCATTGCACATAGCTTAGTAAATTCAAATGTACATACATGTTACATACATCTACTAGTAATGTACTCTTGTTACTGCATACTATATAGGGCTTGTGCTTGTTGAAATCACATTTTCAAAAGTTAAAAGAAAAAATAGGGAGCAAAATAGTTGAAAGTGAACTTAGTACAAAATGAATCACAGAATGAAAATAATTCCAGCACATTTTAAAATAACTACTGGACACTTGGATGTAGGAGACAGTCAGACAGAGTATATTAATATTACATTCAATATTAAATCTTGCTGTTACATGATAGTTGTTGCAGTTGTTGTTTCTTGTATTGGTTCATCAGGGTACCAGTATCCAAGTTCATATTCTTCTTCATTATCTGATAGTGTGGTTACATCATTCCTGTATGCTGTTTCTTCCACTGATACTGACATTATCTCCTGCACTACTAGAGGAGCTGCTATTGCTCTTGCTAGTAATCCAATAATGATGAGATGCAATAGAATGAAACTTAGTAGAATTATTCCTATCATCACACTGCAGCAGACCAAATTAATGAGGCAGACTGAGCACTACAGACTGTGCTGTAGTGTTTTTGTAGTGCATCTTACATGGCTTGAATTATATTTATAGTTATTAATTTTGACCGAGTCACATTAGTAGACCAGTAGTATGAGTTGTCATAACTGTTTCTATACATGGATATAAGTGTAATCAACCACGACCTATGATAAGGCTGACCGCCGAAGCGAGACCGTAAGTTACCTATTCCTGTAATGCAACTCAGCATAGCAGGGGCGTATGTAGGAATTGAGGAAGGGGGGGGGCCGTCCCTAAAAAAACGGACCGGACCGGACCATGGTCGGCGACAAATCTGTTTTACGGACCCGAATAGTCCGCGACATCTCTATTTTACGGACCACTTCGCTCACCATACCTGTAATCTTACAGATGCTAAAAATTATAGCTAATGCTTAGGTCAAGATTTACTCTTGCTGAAATCCAGCTTCTCGGTTAGATATAAGCCCAAACCTTCAGATATTGTGAATTTAACAAATTTATTCATGAAGCAACTGTATACAGCCTGAGCCTGGTACTGCGGAGTACTGAACTTGGATGTTGTGCAGTGACTAGTCTACAAATGGTTTAAATATCTCTTACTTATTTGTGTCACTGTACAGCTTAATGTGGCAAGCAAATCTTGTTCTGAATTCAGTGGAAAAACGGCCCAAATTAGATATGTAATAATAATTGCAAAAACTTGTCAATGACCACATATGTTGGTATAATTATTGTGGTTGATCATTTTATGCATGAATAACTTTAAAAATTTAAGTCTATACTTGATAACATAACATGCAGTGTATGTGAAATGTATGCATGCAATAAAGATGAATACCACTGAAATATGGCCCAGATATTTGTAATGATTATATTCAAGAATTTACATGCACCTTTAATTCATAATAATTATTCAGAATTTTAAATAACAATAACACAAAAACTTTGGTACTTATATCTATCACTGCATAAGTGAACTACACAATCAAAAGATATTACAAGTGTTCATGCAGTTAATTGGTATAATCTGTACTGTCAATACTAATCACTCAAGATCTCCAGCCTCTGACATTATACTACTGAGTGATACCACTGTGCTGTATTTTTTTGTAAACTTCTGTTTAGACTGGTATATTTATTAACTATTTATTCTGCTAATAATTATTTATTTATCCATTAAGTAGTTAAGCTTACTCCGAGGCTTGGTATTATTCACTAGCTTATTCTCACTAACATCATTGCTATAAAGATTATTAAAATTTTTGCTACATAATATCAAGAGTATATAATGGAGGAGGAGAGTGTCTTACTTGCCTATACTGCATTGATGCATGAGCGCGTATCAGCTGAATGTCACAATCCGTTTTACCTCTGTATACTATTTCTATGAATTTCATGAATAAATTATTAGTCATCTGACTTGGGCGTGTTTTCACGTGTTGATTATTAATAATGGCAGATGCTGTGTGTGCCTTCTCTGACTCCACTTAGATTGCTTCTACCTCAGCATCTTCCTTGGATGCAATTAGAGAATGCTTTGAGAAGGAAGAAGGTTATGTTGTTACAGCCAGTACTTCGTAGTCCATCTCTAATCATACACATCTGCACATGCTAGTCGACATGCTACCACCATAGATATTAGAGTAAATGAAAGGGATTGGAAACTTCCGTTCGCGGCAGGAAATGCTAGTTACCCATACCATGATAATTTCTCTATTTATAGGAATTTTTTCAATTTTACAATAGGATTTATTAAGAAAATTATCAAACATTATGGAATAGTACAACTTCATAATGGTTTTTCTCAAATTGTGTTTATGTCACATACATTAAAGTATGTGCGTGCCCTCAAGTGTACACCAAGCTTTGCTTTCATATCACATTTAAATGTGCCAATCATTGAACTGTAAAGAAAAAGGTACAAAACGAAGGTCTTTGCAAAAACTTTGAATTGATTATAAATCAGTCACCAAATCTGTCATCGGAGTCATTTATGTTGCGTGCCCTCCATAATAATGTATAGAATAGTTGGTAATAGTTAATTCTGGTATTACTTCTTTTGTATTCTAAAAAAGGGTACAAAACCGCAATATTGAAGGTATCAGGTCACTAAATCAAACTTTACCCATAGTTATCAATATTATTTTACTTCAAAAATTAGACAGACTGTAAGGGAGGTATCTGTAATGCCTTTAATTATCATTGCAGAGGACGAACACAAGTCACTTTAGAGTTATGAGTTGAAATAGGACGCCGAACAGTGAAGGAAAAGGCCCGGGAAGGGTAACTTGCCTATGTTGCTAGGCAACCTAATAATCTTAATGAAATAATCCGCCCACGCAACGGAAGTTGCCTATCCCTTTCATTTACTCTAATATCTATGCTACCACGTACGTGTGTAGTATAACCACGCCCAAGTCAGATGACTAATAATTTATTCATGAAATTCATAGAAATAGTATACAGAGATAAAACGGATTGTGACATTCAGCTGATACGCGCTCATGCATCAATGCAGTATAGGCAAGTAAGACACTCTCCTCTTCCATTATATATATACTCTTGATAATATTAACAAGAACTACTTTTGGGATCAGTTCCAGTATTATTATTATTTATGTTGATTTATTTTGCATTAGATTCAGTTAATTATCATTATTATTATCATCATTACTACTGTTTTAATTTTGATTGTATTTTTACTTTTTCTTATTAGTTTTTTTGTTTCCTTTTCTTTCTTTTCTCATCTTTTTTCTTTCTCTTTCTGGCTGGCCATGTTTTTTTGGTCAGGCCTTTGGTGTTTCTTTTTATCTAGCCTCTTAACTCTATTCTCATTGCCGGTCACTGTCAAGTTTAAATAAATAAATTAATACATAAATTGCTGATGCATGAATATAACAATTGATTATTATAGTCTACTAGATATATTATTATTAGTTTTGAACAAGTGTAAAATTAATTCAAGTTGATATTACAGACTTTATCAATAAACTACGGCCTCACTGCATTGTATTATTACTCAACTGATAGTAGATCTATCTCGATAGATAAAAATTATATTTGTCACTGAAGTTCTGTATGTTGTCTAGGCCATCGTGGAGTTTGCTAGCATCATAAATACTGATGCTAGCATAGATATCTATGCTCTAGGACGGTCAGGTCCGTGATCATTAACGCGGAGTCCGTACTTTAGTCTTTTCGGGTCCCTTGGTCGGGTCAATAAATTAGTTTGTATCGGGTCCGTCGCTCGGTCCGTAAATTAGTCTTTTCGGGTCCGTTAGTCCGGTCCGGTCCGCTTTTTAGGGACAACCGGAAGGGGGCTGAGGGTAGGGTCTCAAAAGCGGACGGACGGACGGACCTGCCCCGCCCGAAAAGGACGGACGGACGGACTGATGCGGACCCGACAGGACCATAAATATCCATGTAAAGGACAATCATTCATGAATAGTCTGTCTTTAAAACACTTCTATACTTGGACAATAAATTTATGTACGTATTAACTATGCTAGGACCAATAGAAGAGGTCATGTTAGCGAAAATTTTACTTTATCAATGCAACAGGCTGCATGAAGCATTATACTGAACCATCACTTGAATTCTATTTGTTATTCTTAACAGGAGTTCAGTGACACCATTTTAATGATTTTTCTATATTATTTGGTGCAAGTCTATATCTTCAATTCGGCAATAGTTCAGAGGAATTACCATTTACAGTGAATATAAGCAGGAATACAATGTAGACTCTATTATTAAATAAAAACTGCAATTTTTTAGAGTAATAATTATGTTTTGTGTGTTACCAATAGCAATCTTTAGTAAATTGGTTGCAAATCAACCTGATGAGACTGTTGACTGATACTTTTATGTAAGTTATTTCATCACAGCTGTACGTATAATATCTATGTTTTAACACTATAAAATTAGGATTATATATGATGTAAGTGAAGTT